TACTTCATTTCAGGTTTGTCGCTTAAAAAATCCCTAAGTCACATAATATTTATTGACCGCAATTATTTAAGAATTTGCTTTTTTCTTTCGATTTTGTCACCGAAATCTCGCATTGCATTTAAATGGCCCAGAGCAAAAGGTTTAAACTCATGTCGAGTCCATTTTTGAATTGCCCCCCTTTACAATCAAATTGCCCCCCGGAGGGGCGTGGGCCCCACGTTGGGAAACACTGCTCTATACTAAATACATCCAGGCATAAAGCTCATAATTATAAAATTTTAAGTAAATATTGGAGAGAAAAAATTTTGCAATCGCCAATGTGTCAGTATTCCCTTCTGATAGAAGAATATAGCTCATGATCTAACTATACATAATGTATATATCTTATCTTAAAATTAACCCATAATTTCGAAACTTGGTCAGATACATTGCTTTACAGTATTAAACTTCCACACGAAGCTTCAAAATTATAGAAATAATAGCAGCCACGAAATGGGGCATAACATGGTAATCCCCATGCAAATCATCGGACATTAATTTAAATCTTGATTGCCCGTTAACCAACCATATAACTACAGTCTCTTGTTATTGTATTAAGCGCAAAGTAGTTAATCCCATGAGCATGATTTCAAATCCCTGGATCTACCCTATCGCAAGTAAATGAAGAAAAAAAACTTTTTTTTTACTATTATACAAAACTATCCACCTTTTTTTCACACACAGCTTGGTAGTTTCAATAAAATATTTTAAATTATCGCTTTCAATATTCCCCTTTATAAAGAAAATGTCTAACACTATCAAAAACTTCAGAAAACTTCTTGTATTCTCTGCATATATGTGAAGACTTGAATTTTACTTTTCTTATAGCCTTTTTTTTTTCAATCTTTGCCAAATTTATCATTGCAATATAAGTAAGCGCGAGTCCAAGCCACCTCAAAATGTTAGAACACAAGACGACCAAACGAACACACCAATCTTTTTTTGTTTCCTTTGCATATGTCGAAAGGTCCATACTTTATTATTATGTTAACGTATTTTTCATTTTTGCGCCATTTATTACTTCAGTATACTGGTATAAATCGAAAATACTCAGTAGAACAAGTTCGAATTTAGGCGGGGTGTCGAATCGTGTGTATATAAAGAGGCTAATTATTTATTTATTTATTTCCCTTTCATTACGTGATTGAAAACCGTTTTTTTTTTCATAACAAGAGTTTTTCTAAAATATTTTACATTTTTCATGCGAAATATTCCTTATTATAAGGAAAGTAACAGGGCGCTATGAAAGATTTATGATTTCTTGAATTCTCGTCATATACATAAAAGTCAAAATTTTACTTTTATGTTAACACTAAAACTTTTACGTTTTACTTTTATGTTTTAAACTTTGCCTCTTTTATTACTTAAATATATGTAAACACGAAGCCGAATGAAAGAATTATGGACGAAGTAGTTCAGACACAAGGAGACCTAATTGTAATGTCAATCTTTTTTGTGTATGTCTCTGAATATACTACATAAAGGCCTACATTTTACTTATTTATTAACCTATAATTTACAAACATTGCCCCATTTATTATTTCGTTTCAACATAGGTAAACACTAGGCCAAGGCCGAAAAGGGTCTATTTTAAATCGTAATTTTCTTTCATTTCTTTTTTTCTTTTTTTTTTTTGTGTTTTCTCTGCTTATGCATAAACGCCCATTTTTTTTCTCTTTCATATACCTATAATATTCAAATTGTCCCCTATTTATTATTTTAATATACATAAACATGAGTTCTAGCCGCAAAATTATCGATGAATTAGTCGGGCCACAATATTGCCTAAATGTAACATCAATAATCCTTTTATAATAGAAGGTTCCGTGTTCAAATCACGTCCGGGTCACCAATGTGGGAGGAGGAGTAATCGACAATGCCAACCTTCATCTATCAAAAGGTACCTCGTGATTGCAGATACCGCATGTCTTAAAAACCACTGAATTGATGTTTAGTAATCGTAGTGGTAGTTACGCCACATATATAACACATGATCTAAATATATATAATGGCCTATTCCTTCTCTTAATGCCAACCTATAATTCTAAAACTTGATTAGACAGTTTAAACAGTTTTAACGCAAACTACCACATCAAGCAGCAAAATTATGGAAGAATTAGTGGCCAGAAAATGAGGCATAACAGGTTGCTTCAAAGGTAAATCGTGGAAATGGTTATGAAACTTAATTCCCCTTAAACTGCCAGATGACCACAGTCCAGCTGAGTTATACAGTCCTTTTTATTAGAAAATTAAAAAACCTTTTTTCACCTCTTTTTTTACAGTATAGCAATTTGAACAAAATATTTTTAATTGTTGTTCTTAATATTTTAATTTTAAGTAAACTTCGGAATGCTCTGAAAATTTCTTGATTTATGGAGATTTCTTGTATTTTCTGCTTATACATATTAACCTATATTTTTTATAGCTTTTTCTCATAAATTATTTTAATGTAAATTCATTTCTAAATCTGCATAATTGTCGCTATATTCTTTTAGTATAATATAAATAAAATCTATAATTTTGGAAATTGGTCAAGCATATTGTTATAATGCACTTAACTATCACTCCAAACCACAAAACTTTAGACGAATTAGGGGCTTCACAATTGGGCATAATAGGCATCGCCCCATGGAAGACCTCGGAAAGGAATTTGAAACTTGATTAACGTTAAGCAGCCAGTATCTTTGTATGGCATGTAGTGCTATGCACCGCCAAACTACTAATTCCAAGAGCACAAGTTCGAATCCCAAACGGCCTGTCGTTTCGTACGTAAATAAAGAGTCTAATCATTATTTTTTTCATTTCATTACAGAATTAAAGACCT